GAGGCGAGTCGCGCAGGCTGTGGGTTTAGTTCCTAGGCTTCAGTGCAGTTCGCTGCCAAGTGTATCGGCTAACCTAGCACACGGGGGCCGGGCAACTCCTTATGTTGGTTGCACCGAGGCAATAGGGCCAGAACCTGCTTTTTTAACGTTGGCGTGGCCTCAGCGTGAAGGCGGCTCCCCCTAAGCCCGAGGCAAAAAGAAAATGACACTGAAGTTCCGGGATCGGATGTCGGCCTCCCAGAATTTTACTTTGCAAACTTCGCAGTGTCTCAGTAGGTGTCTGAGCTGGAGAGAAACGGCTTGGCGGGCGAGGACAGCAGGAGCCCCGGCGGGGGCCGGGGAGGAAGCCCGGGGAGGCCGACTGCGCCCCGCCGCGCCCCGCCCCGCGCGGGAGCCTGGGGATGGGAGGCGGGCGAGTGGCTGCAGCGCGTCCTCCCGGCGTTTAAACTTTCCCCACCTCGTTTTGTGTTCTTCTGCCGGCCCAGCCACTCTAAGCTTCCTGGTTTTGTCTCCCTGTCCTCCCCACTGCTTTCCTTGCTTTTGGTTTCCAGGGCTGAGTTATTCCTGGGAAAATCTGCACAGACCCCCCTCGAAGCACCGTGAACAAGCCCAGCCCACGCCCAGCGCGCTTCGCGGCCCCCGCGCGCGTCCTGCTCGCTTCCCGCCGTGTGTATTATGACTGAGCTCAGCCGAGTGAGATTTTCTGTAGCTATGCTCAAGTTACGTTAGAGGCATACACCCGCAGAGAAGGTAGGTGAAAAGGAGAGCAATTCACTTGACAAGAGAAATGTGAGAATAGGCTTGGAAAGTACTGTCTGGCACCGGGTGACGGGGTAGAAACAGACTCCTATAAATGGGCTCCTGAAGGTAAACAGTAACAAAATCGCTGGGCTCACACTTCACGTTATGGGGAAGCTGTAGGCATTCATTCAACAAGCTTTAACGGGCACCAACTATGTGAAAGTAAAAAGACAAATTCTCATTAGTCTTTATGATGCTGAGAATCTAATAAAGAGATAAATATAATTTGAGAGGAGTGCTATGGGAACGCAAAGAACGGGCACATCCAGACAGGGAAAAGTGTGTTGATGAGGGCTTCCTGGAAGAGGTGACATGTCTGAGCCAGGCGCCGAAGTTTGCCAGCAAAGAGGGGAGGAAAGACATTCCTTGCATGGGTTGCAGTAGCTTGGGCTAAGAGGAGAGCACTGTGTCCCGGGCAACTACAGATTCTGCACAGATTAGTGTCACTGCAAGGGCAAAGATACAAGCAAGAAATAGTGTCTTCAGGTGGACAGGATACATTTAAGAGCTTTCTGTGCCATGATCCCCCCCCCCCACGTTATGGGAGGGGGCAACCATCCTTTGAAACAGAGTAGTAATGGATAGCCCATATCGAAGTTATGTGAGACAGTGCCAGAGCAAAGTTTTTGTCTGAGAAACACATAAGTAATCTGTGATCAAGAAGTAATGTTGCTAGAACCCTAAAAAGTCTATCAATGAACGTTTACCTTTCTTTTATCTAGTGTATATGTAATTTCCAATCTTTAAAAACACATTTCTTACTAATTTGTTAATCTCATTACTTAAATAGTACTGGTTTTAATCACAATTCCCATCTCCTTTTTCATGAAAGAAATTAAAAAATTTGAACTGGGAAACCTTTTAAAGAAAATATTAGGAAAACAAACATAAAACCAAAAGTTCTCTATTGAAGCTGCCTTAAATTGTGAGTACATATCTCTTGATTTTATTCTTGCAAATTGTTGTCTTTTTTGTAGTTATATTTAAAAAAGAGGAAATGAGAGGGATGAAGAGCAATACAAATTCTTTGTAGAACTGATAATACATGATTTAGAAACAGGGTCCCCGCTACAACTGAAAGCAGAAAGGACTGTAAGAAACACAAACTCTTAAGATCTCTTGTATTAAGAGAGCTCTCACATTTACCTCAAGCAAAGCAAGATTGCGAAAAGCAAACATGCCAGTTCTTATACACAGACACTAAAATTAGAACTTAAGAAGGGAGAGACTCTTGGTAACTATGTACTATTTCTATGTACAGTTATTACAAACAACTCTTGCAATCTAACTGCCACATTCATCTTTAGCACAGCTTTCTAAAACCACAGTAGCAATTCATCTGCATTTTCATTAGCTATGTATCTCTGGCTTTAGCTTTTCACCTAGTACATTGATGTTTCATACTTTATTTTATTTTTTAAATATATCTTTATTGATTTCAGAGAGAGGAAGGGAGAGGAGAGAGATTGAAACATCAGTGATGAGTGAGTCATTGATCGGCTGCCTCCTGCACATCCCCTACTGGGGGTCAAGCTCCAAACCTGGGCATGTGCCCTGACCAGGAATCAAACCTTGACCTCCTGGATCATAGGTCGATGTTCAACCGCTGAGCCACACCGGCTGGGCGATGTTTCATACTTTAGATGGCATTCTGAGCTTTTCCCAAAAAGACAAGAGTATTGGCATTTTGATATTATACAAAATAAACTTTTGCAGTCCTAGAACATCATCATATACTGAGCATACCTGGAATTTTTACATTGTTCCTTATCTGTATTGATTTTTAAAAAAATCTTGTTTCTTTTTGATGACTGTGGCTCAGAATTCATTAAAAATATAGCCTATCAAAATGATCAGATTAGCAAATTTATGATCAAGTAATATTCACAATGCCAGCAACAGTACCGCAAAACAGGTAAACTCTACTAGTGGGAATGTAAATCACTACAGTCTTTCTTGAGGGCAGTGTGACAATATATATATTTTTTTACCTTAAATGCGATCATACCCTTTATTTAGCATTACCTTGTGGGATTCATCCTAAGGAAATAATAGAACATTCAGGTAGCATTATTTGTGATAACAACATTAAAAAGGAAATGGCTTAAATATCTGACAATAAGAAAATGATTACATCAATTATGGTACATCCATATGAAGAATTATTATGTAACCATAAAAATTATTTCCAAGAATTTTAATGACACAGAAAAATGTCCTTGATATAAAGTGGAAAATAGGATACAAGACTTTTGTAACTTATTCCTTATGTATGTGAAAAATACATCAAAATTGGTTATCTCTAGATGTTAGGGTTATCAGTAATTTTTCTAAATAGCCTTATTATATTTTTACAATTCATTTTTAAAACTTGACTATTAACATTCACTTGAAACAAAGTTTGCTAATCCTACTTACACAGAAATTACTACTGATTTTCATCAAATGAAATCTGTTTGGCAGATTATAAATACTAGGGGTTTCAAAACATTTTTAAAATCCAAAGACTGAGGTTCCACAGAGTCTGGAAGAACCAAGAGCTTTAACGTATATCAAACCCTCTCTAATCTCCAACACCCAGAGGAGTACCTGGAACACAGCTGTGATTCACTTGCTCAGTGTTTATTAAAAGTGACCTAAGGCACATTATTTAACCAAAAAACTGAGTAACTATATTTTTTCGTTTATAAGACGAAGATTCTCTGCCTACCTCCTATATTTCTGTCCTAAAACTACAAATATTAAAAGCTGAAATAAATTCACATCCGAAAATACTTGTACTAGAGATACAAAGGTGACTAAGGTCTCAGACTCTGTGCATGAATAGGCCTGCCCTAAGGAGACTGACTGAGCAGGAATACATTTTCCTCAAATTACCAGGGAAAAAGAAATTTATGGATTTTTCTGGAACCCTCTCAGTCCCTACCCAGGTACAACCTTCATAAAGTTTGTGGATTGTTTTGAGGAGGTAATGTTGGCCTGAAGAGAAGGTGGAATAAGTAGCAGCCTATAATTTGAGGGCCTAAGAGCAAACTGGAAACTAGTTATTATATTTAAGACCTCTGTAAATACTGCCATTTTAGAATTCTTTGGAAGTATCCTGTCCCCAAATATGTATCCAGTCACCTGTCATATAGGAAAAATTTCAACATTTGCTTCTTTGAGTCTTGGAAAACTGTCTTTAAAAGTTACAATTGAGCTATAGATACACAGTAGCCTGGGGTAGGACACTACCATGCCTTGCAAGGAAGGCTGTCAAACCTGGAAGAGGCTTTTCTGGAAGGGAAGTAAATCTGTGACCACAGCAGACAAATTGTACCTTCTTGGGTTTTGTGGAGTGCTGACTTGGAGGACAGACTCTTGTGGAATGGTCTGAAATAATCTGAAAGAAGTCAGACTCAATATGCCATTATTGTTGACACTTACTAAATTAAAGGAAATTAACTGAAATTATGACAGTCATCTTTTGGAACGGATCTGAAATGAAGAGATTATTCATTGCCAATCACTTGAAACAAAATTAGTAAGCTCTTTAACTGAAAATAAAATGAATTGTACTAGTTAGGAAATTATTTCTATGAATAAACTATGTGTGTTATTCTGATAAATGAATTAACCAACCCTCTGAAAGGGCTAAATACTATGTCAGTGGATTCTTAGAAATAATTGTTTCTTTTTGTATTAGTAAGAAACCTAATTAATTTGTTGCTGTCTGTGTTTGCCATGAAATAGTACTTTTCCAGTCATTGTATATTAAAAGAAAACAGAATTTGGCAATAATAATTTTAGTTAATTCTCTTCATGTACTTCTGAAGCTTCTCAGGACCACCATAATTAGCTGTATCAGATACTTTATTTTGGTATTAGAGCATGGAAAGAATTTATAACTTTTCAGACAAATATATTTTTTAAAGAAGGTGAAAAGTACAGTACAAATAAAAGTAATATACAGACAGTTTAACTTCTGAACATAGAGGAGGAAATTTTATTAGTAAAAGCAGTGGATTAAAAATGTAACAAAGTTCTCTGTGTAACCCAATAAACTCCATTTTATACTAATATACAGAAAATAATCACATTATAGAATGCATTTATCACGTATTCATTATATTTGTATTTTAGTAGTCAAAGTTTAAGCCATATTTCTTTTGTGAATCTAATTCCACCAATGAAAAATTATTGAGTCTATACTATATTGATCTGGCACCTTTAATTATTGACAATATTTATCTTTTCCATTTCCTATTTGTTAGAAGTCTGTTATTCGATAGGCTTCCTCATGCTCCCAAGACATTAACTCTAGTTTTGTTTTTTCAGAAACTAACACTTTTCTAAACTTATTTGTTTTATCTGAAAATTTTAGTGGGGATTTCTCTTCACCCTTCTCACCCCTGTACCTACTATCACACTGTAATTAACTTTCTCTGATTTTTGTTAATTATTAGAATGAATATTCAAGTTATCCTATTTTATAGCTAGAATTTAAATTACTTAACTTCTGCATATACTATCATGTTTACTCTAAGTTAGATCTCTTGTGCAACTCTTTATTAAAATATTAGAATAGGCATAAAAACATAATAAACATTTCTGAAAATATATGACTTCTTAATATTGCACAATAAAATAATAACAATAATAATTATGAATTGGGTACAGTTAACCAAAACTATAAGTATACTCACAATAAGGAAATAATATGGCTAGAAATGTGTGTATGAATATATATATATATGTAACAAAGTATTTGTAGTGAGGTTAAAATTTCACCAAACATTTCATTTCCCCATGAAAGGTCCTTAAAAATATGGTAACCATTGTTTTTATTCAATACTTAGTTGAATTTTATCTTGAAATTTGAAAACTGAGAAACATTAATACTGAGAAAAAATGTTTAACAGAAACTCATTATGTCCTATTAGGTTATATGGCTAAGTTGGAAAGAAAATAATGTATCTCAAGATACACTCTTTTTGGTTGTTTGTGATTTGTGAAAATCTGCCACTATTGAAATAATACCACTTCTGTTTTCTCTTTGAGTTAACAGACTTAAAAGGGAGCTTCATTAATATTAATATTAATAGTCAAGTTTGTAAGCTATACAGTAAAAAAGAAAGGCAAATGATTCATTACAGTGAATAATAACTAGATTATCTTTTCTTGTTAAAGTATTGATCTTGCTTTTTTCTCTGTACTCACATTTTTATTTATACTCTACATATTTCTATGTATAGCTTTTTAAGTTGACTAAAAGCATTTCATAATATGTAAACTGATTCAGATTTTGTTTAGAATTATGTGTTTACAGTTATGTGATTATCTCTATTTATAATATATTACAGTAGCCTAGCAAGCCTTTTAGAAGGGACCTTGAAGATAATTAGCATATAAAGTTTCATTTTAGTGTAACTTTACCCACTGATGTCTTATGAATATTCTACTTTTCTTTAGCAGATTTTCCACAAATACTAGGAGAGTCACCATGATTCAATTTTGTCACAAGGTGATTTCAAAGTGATCTTTACTGAGTTTTCTTGAATGCTTGCAACTGGAACTTTTGGGGCTGATGAGGTTTGCCAGGAAGACAGAAAAGATGGTGTCACTTCAGATCTGATATTCCTGGGTCTGGACTTAAAGATTATCTGTTGAAGATTGATTCTTCCCCATGTCCTCTCCAAATTCAGATTTCACTTCTCCAGAGGTTTAGAAGGCCCTATTTCAACACTGCCACACAGAAAAAGACAAAACTCAAGAAAAATAATATTACAAGTTGACTGCTCTGCAAGATACATGTCTTAGGTCAGAATTTCATGGCTTTTGGCATCAGGCCAGCATACTATTAATAAAACAAAG